TTGCTGGTACCTTCCCTGGTCCTTGCACGGGCTGGCCACCCGGGACCCGGGCGGCCCGGCTGGTAGCCTAGCTCTATATATATAAAGGGGACCCCTGCAAGCATTGGGCCTCGCAACCGAGGTAAATTATGTTGCCCCCCGCCCCAACAGCCGTAGGAGTCAGGGATGGGGTGGGAACCGCCGGTCGGGGTTCAGCTAACGCGAAGACCGAGGATTTTGCCGGTAGCTGCGCCCCCCTTTCTCATCTCACCCCACCCGTCATCCAGTAGCAGCAGAGATTATGGCCAACACTCTCCCACACACAACCCACTCACGCTCGCACTCACACCCGTGTTGGTCATAGACCCCCCCGCTAATACCGATCAGGGGTATCCAGAGGACTATCACAGTCCATTGGCACTAAGTGCGCCGCACGTGGTCATGGCGTTCGAACCCACAACCTACTGAGCTAGTTTTTTTTTTTTTTTTTGTGAAAGGGCAACCGCCTTCGGAAATTTATTCAACTACTTTCATCTGCATTCGAGCCCCGGTCTGGTATTTAAATGTTCAACAGGACTTTGCTGGATGTATCTGACCGGAATTCCATCTTCCCCTGGATGTATCTGTCTGCAATTCCGTCCACAGCTCAGTTCAAAAAAATGCCCTTGCTAGTGTCAGCATGCTCTAATAGATACATTGGGAATGCCAGTTCACACTTTTTTTTTTTTTTTTTTTTTTTTTTGTGGACCATTTCTCGATTTATGCATGTCATCCTTGAAAGCGCAGGGGCCATTTTGCTAATTACCCTAATCTGTATCGTTCCAGTTTTAACGGATGTCCCAAAGGGCCAGGGGCCAAGTATTTTGCTAATTACCCTTCTCTGTATCGTTCCAGTTTTAACGGATGTCCCAAAGGGCCAGGGGCCAAGTCCCACTAGTGGCAGCGTTGAGCTACCTCAACGCCTGAATCTGGACGTGTTTGTGGAGACGTGCAGTTCAGGAAACACCATTTCTGCACATCTCCACAAAAGCGTCCAGATTCAGGCATTGAGGTAGCTCAACTCTGCTAGTGGGACAGGGCCCCAGCTCACACTTTCTCCCCATGTATATCATATCATATCAAAAAAATTGAAAAACAAAAAAGAATAAAATTCCAAACGAGTCTTGGGCGCATTGCGCCTCTTGTGGAGTGCACATAGGATTCAACCAGTAC